AGCATCTGTAGTCCCTGAAACCCTGCAGATGAGCTTATCTACGACTGTGTCCTGCATGGTCACTACGAGTTCCAATCCACTGGACGGCAGGGGTGGGCTTGGGAGTTTACTGAAGTCCCCAGAGCTGGTTTCCTGACTGATAAGCCAAGAACAAGACACAAACAAGAAACAGATCCTTATGAGTCCTGGCCGAGCGTCCTTGATCATTTTCAACTCCATTCCCAGGAGAAGGGAGTCCTAAGCCCTTGGTGTCTTACGGGGTAGTGGGCAGTTGGAAGTCCGCAGCTTTGTGGGAGAAAGATCCAATAGTCAGCCTGGGTCAAGATTTGCAGCAATCTGAGCAACCCACCCGCGCAGCCCCCTGTGCCGTACAGGGTGGGAGTGAGTCGGATTCCCTTCAGGCCAGAGGGTTTGGCGTTTGGTCCCTAGAATATTTTCTGTGTTAGGGAGAAACAAGAGAAAAGGGGTCTGAGGTGTTTCAAATTTCCACCGTAAGAGAAACAAAAGTCTTAGGCGAATGCATCCCAGTAGATAATTACTGGTAGGACATTTGAGATAAATGGATCTAGTGTAGTCTCGGTTTTTCGTCAAATCTCATATAACTTCATTATAGCAAAGGCTGAAACTTAACCCATTTACATGAAACCTTGAAATCACTTTCGCGGGTGGAGGTAGACTTACAATGATCAGCATTATTATTTCAAACTTTTCTAAACGTGGATCATGTATTATAACTTTTATAACGATCCAGGTTTCTTTCTTTGCAATCATAGTCTTTCAGATGGAAAATTATGTAGCTACTCACAAGGAGGAATAATCACTGAGTACTTGGCTTTTTGGTGGGCATGAAGAAAGGGGCTTAGCTTGTTCTCACAGCCATGGGTGTGGGGGATCAGGATGTGCCTGGGGTTGCACGCTGTTAGATGTCGAATCTGATGGGAATTTGCATTTGAGGTGCATAGGCCTGAGGCGGTTGCTTTCTCAGCGCAAATGTAGGGCAGGAGCTCAAGTATTCCACAAAGCCGTTTTTGTTTTGATAGCTAATCAAGTGTTTTAGAGGATGCCAGGAATAGTGAGCTGTTCATGAGGGTCTTCATCATCCCCAGGCAGTTTCAGTGACGCTGGACTCCATCGGACTCTCCGGCTGGTACGGTCCATGGGTGAGCACACTGCTCAAATGCCCGTCAGAAGGTCACAGCTTTGAGTGCACTCAGATTTGGGGAGAAAGGTTTGACTATCTGCTTCTGAAAACTCACTCTGAGAGCTCTCTAGGGCCGTTCACCTCTGACACAGGGGTCGCCGGGAGGATCAACTTGGTGGCTCTTTTCCATGGTCCTATATTTTCAGGGTGATGTGCATGTCTATGTGTGTATATATACAAAATGGATGCGTTGGCTATGGCTCGGGGGTCACCCTTTTCCTACTGGCGAGACACACCCAAGAACCAGTCCTGTCACCCGAGCTTTCCCTTACTCATTAAATCAGAAAGCAACCTGCTGAATGAATCTTATTTTAAAGAGAACATTGATTCCCCACTGACTTATCAATGAGATCCAAATTTCAATAAGGTCCTTACTGTGGTAATCAATGAGGAGCCCTGGTGGTGTGTGGTCAGTGTAGGTCAGCCGTTTGGAACCACCAGGTGCTCCACAGGAGAACGAGCAGGCTTTCTACTCTGGGCCACTTCTACCCTGCCCTGTAGGGTTGCTATGAGGCACAATGGACTCTATGGGAATGAGTGAGCTAATTAACTGCTTCTTTTTTTAAAAAAAATTTTAAAATAATTTTATTGGGGGGCTCATGTAACTCTTATCACAATCCATACATACATCAGTTATATAAGGCACGTTTATACATTCGTTTCCCTCATCATTCTCAAACATTTGCTCTCCACTTAAGCCCTTGGCATCAGCTTCTCATTTTTCCCCCTCCCTCACCGCTCCCCGCTCCCTCATGAACCCTTGATAATTTAGGAATTATTATTATTTTGTCATATCTTACACTGTCCGACGTCTCCCTTCACCCAGGAGGTTATATATAGATCCTTGTCATCAGTTCCCCCTTTCTACCCCACCCTCCCTCCACCCTTCCTGTATCACCACGCTCACCACAGGTCCTGAAGGGGTCACCCATCCTGGATTCCATAACCGCCTTTTCAAAAACCGCTTTTGCTCACATGAGCTCATTTTCTCCTCAGGTTGTCACTATTGTTGCCATTCTGGGGGCCATGGTGAGAGGAAGGCAAGGCATAGGAAGGCTAGGGAACTTGTCCAAGGTCAGCAGCTGGTGGGGCAGGTGGCAGATGAGGACCTCGATTGCGGGGCTACACAAACTGCTTCCCAGCAGCCCAAATGTGAACCCACCTGGTGGCCCCACAGGTGACGGCGTCTGCAAAGGTGATAGCGCGAGAGCGCTGTGGAGAAGTTCCAGCTGCAAAACGGGGCCGTGGCCAGGCATGGGCTGCTGTGAAGTCAGCCGTGCAGACCGATCAGTTGCTCTGTAGGACGAAGCTGAGATGCTGTGCTCCAGTCTGAAAGCTGTAAATATCCAGACGCCCTCGACCGATGATAGGTAGTAGGTTAGGGTCCGTGAACTATAGGGGGATTTCATGTGAGGGTTTGCATCTTACTCATCTGCAGACACTTCCTTAGAATGTTGCATACGCACAGTTGGAGGACTGCTTTAATCCATTTTGTTAACAACCGGTCTTGTCATTAAAAAAGTAAGAGTAATATAGTATTGACAATACAGTACAGATAAACAATAAATAAAGCTATGAAAATCACCACTACCGATCATATTAACATTTGGTGAATGTTTGCTCAAGTTTTCTTGCCATTAAATCTTTTTCCAAAAAAAAAAAAATGACAGAACATTGTTACAGCTCCAGTTTTAAGCGTCCTGCTGTTTGGGGCATATGTTTCCTGTAGTCTCTAAAGTATTACTCACTCTCTGCTGGAAAAATCAATTCTGTCTCAGCCCGACCTTTTCCTGCTTTCTGGTTTCTCAGCCATATATGGCCATTCAGAGGAACTCTGCGCTGCTATCCGTGAGGCCCATGGTTCAAAGCCACCAGCTGCTCCTCAGGAGAAAGATGAGGTTTTCTACTCCCAGGAAGAGTTGCAGTCTAGGAAACTCACAGGGCCAGTTCTGCCTGGCCCTCTAGGATCACTATGAGTCGGCATCGACTAGGATCACTATGAGTCGGCATCGACTCAGTGGTAGTGAGTTTGGCTTACACGGCCACTCAAGGTGTGTAACACTATTGTAAGCCCTAGTCTGCAACTGTTACATGAGCCCCATGGCACTTCACCTGCTCAAATGTGTCAGTTTTGTAATTTGTGGTAGTCACATTTGTTTTCCCTTCTGAAGGGATTCTTGGGGGGTCTAGTTAATGCTCTCAGCTGCTAACTGAAAGGTTGGAGGTTTGAGTCCATCCAGGGTGTTTCAGAGCAAAGGCCGGGCCACCTACTTCTGGAAAACCAGCCGTTGAGCAGTATGGAGTGCAGTCTGCCAGGCAGGGTTGCTGTAGATCAGGGTCAGCTTGGCAGCAGCTGTGGGTTTGTTTTACTTTCCCCCCTTCTTTTCTCAAGCAGCCTGGCCTCTCTGTTTCACACATAACAATAAGAAGCCCTGGTGGGTTAGTGGTTATTTGTTGGACTGCTAACGGATAGGTCGGCAGTTTAAAACCATCAGCTGATCCGTGAGAGCAAGATGAGGCTCTCTACTCCTGTACAAATACACCATCTTGGAAACCCATTGGGACGTTTTCACTCCGTTCCTTAGGGCCACTGTGAGTCAGGACTGGCTCGATGGC